AAAGATATTATATAAAAAAATAAGAACTTTTAAATATTTAATTTGATACTAAAATCGATACATTTTTTTTAAATTTTATGATACAATCAAATTTATATTTTATTCAAAAAATAAAATATTATCGTTTTTCAGTACCACATAAAATTATATTATAACATCGAATGGAGACAAAATAAAATGAAATATTAAAATTGAGATGTATCTTGCTGCATTAAATTATAATAAAAATTAAAGTTAGATTAAATAATAATAAAAATTAAATTAAAGAAGTTGCACAAAAAAAAAAGAGTTATTAAATAGTTAATTTTATACTAATATCGATTTTTTTTTTCAAAACTTTATGATATCTTCAAATTTATATTTCATTCAAAATAAAAACATTATTGCTTTCTCAAAACCACATAAAATCGTATTATTTTGATAGAGACAAAGAACAAAAACTAAATATTAAAATCGGAATTTATCTCGCTTCATTGCGCGAATACCCTTTTAATATTATTTAAAATAGAGAAAACAAGATAATTTTTTTAATTAAAATAATTCCCTAAAATTCGCTATAATAAGATATTAATGATTTTTTCCGTTACAACAAATGAGGTAAAATTATTATTATTTTATATAAAGTTTTTGAAAAAATGAATTAAGATGACAACATTATATAATATTTTAGCAATATAATTAATGTTTAAATATTTAAAGAATATAAATTGTTGGAGTTGATTTTTTTTTAATTATAACTTTTAATTCTCTATTCAGAGATTCTAGAAGGGTACTCATACAACACAGTGAGATACATCTCGATTTTAATGCTCTCTTTTTTTGTCTCTGTCGACGTTATAATACGGTTTTATATGGTTTTGAAAAAACGATATTGTTTTTATTTTTAAATAAAATATAAATATAAAGATATATCATAAAAAATTAAAAAAATATTGATATAGTACCAAACTAACTATTTAAAATTTCTCATTTTTTGGTGTATTTCTTTAATTCATTTTTATTTAATAATATAATTTTTTTATAAATATAATAATTAAATATTACTGTTAGAACTAAATGATTATAATAAATATATTTTAGATCATCTATATCTAAAATGAGACGTTTATCCTCTATTTAATTATATTTATTTACAATTACTTATATAAATTCAAATATGAAGCTTCAATAAATTGTATTTACAAAAATTTTACTTGTAATCTTTAATTTTAAGTAATATGCATCAACAAACAGTATTTCATGCATAAAAAATGGTTTTTAAAAGTTTTGGTCTAATGCTTTATAATATAAGATAGATTATAAATAATTTGTCGAAAATTGAAATCGTGATAAAGGAAACCCGAAGGGGCGACATATGAAAAGTAGGACGAGGGAGGAGGGGGGGGGGGAGCGATAAAGAACTAAGGGAAGTTGATTTGGTTTTGTTTTTTTATTTATTCTTGGATGATTCAGTATAAAATATATATTTTATCTGAAATGCCTGTAATTTTAATGGATGCTCTAAACATATGATTCATGCAAGTAAATTCAAAAAGAACGCCAGCCTGGCATACTTTTTAAAATGTACAAAACCATAGTAAATGTGTGTTTGGTACACAAACTACATGTGGTAGGACGAGAAAGAAAATAGTCTTATGTTTAGTATGACATGTGACGAACCTCATTTTTCATATGACAAAAACTAGAGTTTTTTATTACACAGAAAAAATTGGAACAATACTGGACAAAAACATAAAATTACTATTTTACCCTCCTACCATAAAAAAATCTAAAATTAGTATCCATATATACTTATATGTTATACAATAATATTTATATTATATATACAAATAAATTATAAAATAATATTATATATAATATTTGTGTGTTATTATATATATATTGATATAATTTTAAATTATAATATATCTATACTATATTATAAAATATTTGACAAAAACTCTTAAAAACCATTTTTTATATATGAAGTACTGCTTATTGATGCATATTACTTAAAATTTAAGGTTACAAGTAAATTATGCATAAGTACAACTTATTAAACTTCATATTTGAATTTGTGTAACAAACCGTAGATAAATATAATCAAATTCACGACAAAATTCTCATTTTAAATATATCTAAAATATAATTAGGATAACTATTGACTACTAACATAATACTTAGTTATTATCTTTATAAAAACTATATTATTAAATCAAAAACAAATTATTTCGTCATTAAACATAAATTAAATTAAAATAAAAAATTTGAATTAAAGAAATTACACAAAAAGTTAGAACTTTTTAATTTTTATGATATCTTCAAATTTATATTTAAAAAAATTATTGTTTGTTCAAAACCACATAAATTCATATTATAATATCGACATAGACAAAAAAAAAAATTAAAACCGAGATGTGTCTTGCTGCATTGTACGGGTACTCTTCTAGTATAGATTTAATACATATGTCATCACACACACACATATATATATATATATGTGTGTGTGTGTGTGTGTATGTGTATATGTGTGTGTCTATGTATGTAAATTATAATAGAGAGACCCTTTTTTAAGAATTCTGTAAATTGTGAAATTTTTGAGAACTAGTAAACCATGTGTTAATTCATATGATTTTATTTGATTTAAAAATAAAATTTAATGTAATGATTGACATATATTTGTTTCACAAATACCTAGTTCATAATTGTTTTTGCATGTTTGTGAAACAAAAAATTCACATTTTGAACTGAATACATATGAAACAAACACATTGTGAAACAAATATGTTGACCATTACATCAAATACTACACTTAGATGAAAAAAATTAATTAAAACCTCAAGATACAATTTCTTACAAATCTTATAATTTTTGGAGTTTTCAAATGATTCCTTAATTATAATAAATAAATGACGAAGGATCACGTGAGAAGTAGAGTTAAAACGAGAAGCGTAAGAAGATATATGAACATTGATCATTTTTAATCTCAAACCTATCATATGAATCGTGCTTGATATAAAGATTGATCTGGTGCATCTCGGTGCATTTCATCCCAATGTGCATCCAAGGGTCGAAATAATTTTTTATGTTTCTCACCTTAACTCTCTTTCTCAGCGGAATCTAACTCTGTACTACGTATAATGATACACATAAAAAATTTAGTTATATAATAAGTTTATAAATTGTATTAAAATAATACATAAATGTATATATAATTTATACTACCTTATAAACCAGATTTATCAAAAATCTTAACAATTTTTAATGCACAAAGTACTATACATTTATGCATAAAGTTTTAAAAGTCTTAAAACAACTCATAATGCATTAAGTACTACTACTTTATGCATTCAGTCTTAAAATCTCGTAATCTGCAATTAAAATAACATATACTACAAGTTACCAATGCACATTATTACTTTTTCTTTTCATGTTCCTAAGATACTTTTGACACATTTCACTCATGTTTTCACTCTCTCATACCTCTATGTATTTTCCCCATCCCCCAAGGTGAGATTCAAACTGATATCCATCATAAGTTATTAAAAGTTATCTCATTAATCTCCAATTCAAGTGCTCTAAAACTCTCGATCTCTTGATTCTTTGCTTTTGGTGTAAATTGAACACATTTGTGGAGTCGTTTAAATATATTGGATTTTAAACTGTCATACAATTTTTTTCATCGATAGACCGCAATTGGAACCATAACTCTTATTTATTCAAATTGTATTAATATTTACAGACCAAGTGTAACTTATATCATTATTAAATGATCTCTAATAAAACCAATGAAATTTCAAAATCGTTAAAATTCACATCTCCCACCGCATTGCACAGTTTCACAACTTGTATGTATTAAATACAAACTATAACTCATAAAATAATATTATATGTATATATATTAAAATAAATTACAATATTATATTATATATTTAATACAAATTATGATATATATATATTTTTTGTAATAAAATTATTTCAAAAACATTTTATATAACAACCTCGTTATATAACTTTAATTTATTACATTTTTTAATGTTTTTTAAACTAAAAAGTGAAAAAAAGAAATAAAAAATTCAAAATCCTTCCTGCCTATAAATACCGTTTAACCTTCATGTCAATGTTCATCACAATTCTCCACTACAGAAACCCTAGATTTCTCTGATCAAATTCAGCTTCATCTGAACCAACAATGGCTCGATCGGAGAACGAAACCTCCAATTCATCGTCCGCTGAAGAAGAGGAGCTTTCATCTGAAGGGTCCGAATCAGAATCCGAACCCGACAAGACATCCACACCACCACCCTCTTCGAAGAAGTCGCAACTCACTCCCAATTCATCTTCCGATGAATCGGAGACTGAGTCTGAATCCGACACAGAGAAGACTCCTGAGAAGTCTTTGGTACCTTACCCAAACGTCAAACCTTTAGCGTCAAAGCCCATGGATGATGATGGTGATGACCAGTTGAAAAAACCTAGATCTAAGAACCCTACTATACGCTACTCACCGCCTGTTCACAAGCCATCCACCGGAAAACGACCTGCGACGGTGGTTGAAGGTGGGGACTTGAAGCGGATCAAGAAGAAGACGGTGGTGGCGGTGGCGGCACCGGATGCGGAGAATAATGGAGAAAAGAAGCTTTTTCAGAGGTTGTGGAGTGAAAACGATGAAATTGAGTTGATTAAAGGTATGATTAGTTATGTTGAGGAAAAGGGTAAGGATCCTGTTGCAGATGTTAATGATTTTCATGAGTTTGTGAAGAAATCACTTGATGTTGATGTTAATAACCGACAGATGACTACTAAGGTTCGAAGGTTAAAGAAAAAGTTTGAAAACAATGTAGCTAAAGTTGAGAACAAAGGGAAAGTTAGGTCTTTCTCGAATCCCCATGAGAAGGTAATGTATGAATTGTCGAAAAGTTTATGGGGTAGTGATGGTACTAACAATGCAGTTATGAGTTCCAGGGTCAAGAAAGTCAATGTGACACCGAAAACAAACAAGAATCGAAAGGACAGCAAAGCTGTGGGTTCTGGAAATGGGAATGGAGGGATTGAGGTGATCCCATTTGAGGTTGAACCGAAGGTGGTTCATGCCGCCCCTTCTGGCAATGAGGTGGACCATCTTGGTTTAATGGGGATGCCGGTAACGGATGAGATGATTATGAATAAGGGATTAGAGTTGGTATCGGGGGCGAAGAAGGTTGAGTTGCAGCAGAAGTGGAAGAATCTTAAGGTTCTAGAACTTAAGCATTTCGTGGAGAAAGTGAAGCTTTTGAAAGAGCAAGCTGAGGTTGTGTTGGATGCAATAGAGAAATCTGGTGCCAATTAAGGTACACTTTGATCATGGGTTGTATGTGTTTAGGAGTCATGCAAGTGCAAAGAGTTATGTTTTGTCATATGTGTAATATGCTTGTTTGTTATCTTTAGTAACTAGTTTGGTAAAGTGAACTCAATCGTATGGTATATGTTTCTGTCAATGATATGTATCTTCAAGATGAACAAATCTATTGAGCTTGTACCCTATCAAGTTAGTTTTACTTATTTAATGGTAGATTTCGATAATTTTCCATCCATAATGCTATGTTTTGTGATCCCTTTTGTACGTTTCTTGATCTTCTCTAGATATTTTGAAAAAGATCACTATGGTGATTCTTGAAATAGGCACTAAAGGCAAAAGAATGGATCAAAAATGGTGAAGTATGGATTATGGCTATGCTTTTTTTTTGTGCATTGGGGTTTGATTTTTGTATGTCGGGTTGATATTATACTCTTTTTGCTTCTCTGAAGTTTAATTTTACTGTTAGGATAATTATACGTGTATCACCCTCAATGTGAAACAGATGGGGAATTTGGATAATTCCATTTTAAAGCTTTCTTTGATAGCAAAAAGTTAAGTGAACATGTCTTCATTATACATGCTTTGTTTTCACAATTTTGATCCGTATTGCGTGTTACTTTCATTGTGTTTCCTTTTTCTTTCGTGTCAATTTATTGATTTTTTGCTTGCGTTATAAAGGATATATTTGTTTTCGTTAATATAGACTAAGGTAAGTGGATTTCCAATCATATACTGTCAACTATAAGATTCATATATGAATCTAAATGAATCATGGTTGAATGATGTGAATACACCTCAAAGTGTTATTCGTTGGCTGTGCTTCTGAATGAAATGTTTATTTCCAAAGTCTAGTCTACTAGTGTGATTCGAGAGTAAATAAGGATTTACGTAACTGGATAAATTGTTTCATAGTTTGTTAGAAATATCAACTCTTTATTAGATCAAGATAGTTGCATGAAATTTATTCTGTTGATGGTTAGGTTTAAGGATTGGTTCTGATCTAAGGGATGGTTAATTAAAGAAGATAGTTAAATGCAATTTGCCCTTTTCTATACTTCCATTTAGATGTAGAGATAAGATTATTTCATTAGATAACTCTAGGCGCGTTAATTATGCATTAGGATCTACAAAGTTGCCTAAAATGCAACAAATGATGGATATTAAAGCAAGAGAGGGCAAGCATACATACCAAATCTTGGGAGCTATTCTAATATCTAAGCAAGCCGTAAATGATCTATATTTTCTCCATTTTAACATTATTTACATATTGTGGTATGTGTGCCTTGGACCGGATGGTTTTCACAGGTTAGACATGATGGCTTTAGGCATTTCTGAGAACATGACCTCTGATAGGAGTTGGAGAAGAAGGACTAGGGTAGCAGACTATGGGTGGGGATCCGTAGCTTGTTTAGACCGAAGGTGGGAGATAGGGTTAGTAATTTAGGTTAGGCGTGTATACGTTTCCTTAAACTGGTTTTACTGTTCCTGTACGTGCTTCTTTTGTGTGTTGCTGCTTTCTCTTAGTCAATTTCTCAAGTCTTCATCATATTCGTCTTTCTTTCTTTGTTACACTTTTCACAAGTGGGGGGTCAACACAGAAACAACCACTCTACTTTTTGGGGTAGGGGTCAGGTCGGCATACATCTTACCCTCCCCAGGCCCCACCTTACGTAGGATATACTCTTTGAGGTAGGGGCTAGGTCTATACGAAAACAACCATTCTACTCTTTGGGGTAGGGATCAGGTCTGTGTACATCTCACCCTCTCTAGACCCCACCTCAGTTATGATATACTGGGTTCATTTGGTTTAGTTTGGTGTGGTTTTAACAAGAAGCAGAAGATGAAGTACATTGTTCAACATTTTGCCTACATCCACGATCGTTGCTTGGATTCTTGTTATGTAATTTATGAATATGATATACATGAGAAACCAACAGCTTGGTTTCTTTTATAACATGAGACACACAATTGATCATGAATTGCGGCACATGAAGGAATTTCGTCATGAGTTACTATATTAGGATTACTCTTGCATGAACTAAATATTTTTGACCATGATTGATCAAGAATTGCGGCACATGATTGGTCGTTCTTGACGTCGAATTTCTGGAGCAAAATGAAATTAACAGGGTATTTTTTACTTCCAATTTCCATTTTCTTGACGTTTTTCTAGTTCCGTATCATCTAAATGCGAATCTTTTTCGTTATTCTTCGATGATATTTCTGTATTTAGGACACAGAATCAGATGGAAAAGGTTTGAACAAATTATGGCTTTTTGATTAGTAAAAATCCCAAAAAAGTAGAGAAATGGATATAAGATATCTGGATCAGGTTACATTTTTATTTCAAGCAGGTGCAGTTGGGACCGTCTGGTGCACTGGTCCAGGTGGGTTCATCATCGGTCCAGGCGGGTTCAACTTCTTTTCTTCTTTCTCAACAGCAGTCGCGGAAATGTAGTAAGAAACTGCGAACATCCCATGAATGATGCATGCAATGCCGCCAATAGACAGGTAACGATGGTTCGAAACTCCACATGATTTTCTTGAACTTGAGTTAGCCATGACTCCGGCAATTAGCATCCCAAAGCCAATAACCAGCGTAATCCTGGTACAATGCTTAATGCATCAGGTAAGCCAAACAAACCCAATATATCTCTGGAAGTTGGGATATATGCAACTTTTATCTCTATCCTATACAGTAGAGCGGTTTCTATGAATACTCCACAAACCCAGTTTGTCCCATTTGAAGACGGGGTCTGGGCTTGGAATATATGCAATGACGTGGCCTTTGTCATGATGTATCAAAGTATAATTTTGAAATTTCTACGTAAGAAAGCGCAACATGTGAAATGGGTGCTCGTACCATGATAGGACGAGTGAAGCCATGGCTAGTTGCTTGTTAGAGGTGGCCCTGTCGAGCTCCGGTTTGGACCATACACAATGGCAACCACCAAACAAGTTTGCAATGGCATGAGCAAATGCGAGAAGCACGGCGGCTGCAAACCCGAGTTTAAATGCTTGATAACTTGGATCTCTACACTCAAAGATCCACACTCTTAGATTTTGCACCTGTAAGGTAAGTCAATCAAAGTACAATACCGAAGTAGGGTTTGGGGTTACAGATTCTAGTATCAACATATAGTAACTAAACCAAACCAACACAATATATCCCACTGAAAGTGAGGTCTAAGGGGGTGGATATGCACATATCTGTCATCTACCTCAATGGGAGAGGTCGATGACGAAGTGACATATCACATAAAGGCAGGGTGACTTAAGTGGATAGTTGGCACTGGTAAATGAGGATGCTTGAATGAACCTGTTTTGGGGTTTAGCCATCATATTAAGCTAAGTTGTATGGATCAACATGTTTATTTGACAAAGAAAGCCAATGATAGAAAGTCAGTATGTTGGGATCAGGTTACCGACTTTGAGTCGAAGAGCATACCTTGTTTTGAGCTACTTCAGCCTGAATACCGAGAATTCCTGCAGTGAGATCCATGATGACAATCAAGAGACAGACGAATGGTACTACGTACTGACCCATGTTTTGACCGTTCATCGACATCTTTTTGGGTGTAGAAAAGATGAAGGATCCATTGTGGGGTTTTATGGAGATGGGTTTGGAAGATGAAGAAGGAAACAGAGAATAAAGGGGAAGAGTAAATGAGGTTGAAGTGCATATGGATATGTTGTAAAGTTGGATGTTGTATTGAGCTTGGTTTGGATTCCTTACATGGCAACCAAGGAAAGTAGGGTATCTTCTCACCCATACCATCATGCTCTAACCATGCCATAACCCTTTAACCAACTAAAAAATCTGTAACCGAGTTAAATTTTGTGGTCATTTAACTGTAAAAACGTTAAATTTTGTGGTCATTTAAATGGTGGCGGTTGCCTGTCGGTGGTACGTATTGCATGCCTTGTCCCTGACCCTGACTTCATTTAAGCCCCCGTCCCGATTAATCCCTGATGGGCTTGAAGGGAGTGAATCTTCGACGGGTTTGGGACTTGCTTATTTAAAACAGTAACAACAGTGCATCTTAGAATTCACTATAATGAATCGCCAATATATTAATTACCAATATTGGAAATCAAATATATTTGTCATATCTATATCTATACTATATTATAAAACATTTGACAAAAACTCTTAAAAACCATTTTTTATGCATGAAGTACTGTTTATTAATGCATCTTATTTAAAATTCAAGATTAGAAGCGATTTTGCGTAGGTTAACTTATTAAAGCTTCATTTTTAAATTCGTGTGACTAACTGCAGATAAACATTATCAAATACATGATAAACATCTACTTTAAATATAGAAAATCTAAAATATAATTAAGATAATCATTGAATTTCTAAACGAATGTTTAATTATTATCTTTAATAAAAATTATATTATTAAACCAAAAATAAATTATTTTGTTATTAAATCTAAATTAAGTTATAATAAAAAAAATGAATTAAAAAAGTTACACCAAAAAAACAAAACCTATTAAATAATTAATTTAATACTAATATCGATTTTATTTTATTTTTAAATTTTTTATGCTATCTTTAAATTTATATTTTAATTCAAAAATAAAAACATTATTGATTTCTTATTACCACATAAAATCGTATTATATCGATAGAGACATTCAATAAAAACTAAACATTAAAATGAAGATTTATCTCGCTGCGTTGCGTGAGTACCCTTCTAGTAATGATAAATGTATGTGTGTATATTTTTAGGATACAACTAAAAAGGGATAAATTGCATGAAAAAGTAGCGTATTTTAACTTAATTCCTATTTTTGGTAACATGTTTTTAAAACTTTCATTTTGGTATATAAGATTACAAGTTTTAAAAATTTAAATATCCGGGTAACCGGTTGAAGTTTAATTTTAGATTAAAAAAAGATTAATTTTAGATTAAAAAAATCCATATTACTAACTATGTTAACAAATAATACCGAGTTGGATACCACATCACTCGACACATCAACATGATAACCGGTTAATACTCCTACCAGTTACCCGGTACTTAAATGTTAAAAAAACTTTACATCTTAGGTATCAAAATGAAAGTTTTGAAAGTACTTTACCCAAAATAAAAATCAAGTTAAAGTACGTTAGTTTTTCATGTAATTTTTTTTTCCAAAAATAAAATTTAATACTAAAAAAAAGAAAAAGAATATTACCATTACGCAAAAAAATTATTCTCGTAAAGATGTGGAAAAAGACATTATTAGAAAAGAAACGTCTAATATTTTATAAAATATTCACCTTTCTTTAAAAAAGTACAATTGTAACAAATAATTTGATAAAAAGGCAATATGCTAGAAATAAAAATCTAAACAGAATTATTATATTATTATACTTTTATTTTTTTATTATAACAATATGTTTTTAAATTATTTTTTATCATAAAATTTTGAAAAATTCTATCTGTTATTATAAGGAAAAAAAGTCTAAAAAAATATTAGTGGACTTTAATGTTTGGAATGATTAAGTTATTGGACAATTTTTTGAAACAAATAAGTCTTTAGACATTCTAAAACCTATTAAATAATTTATTGGACTTTCTAAAATCTGTTAAATACATTCTTATGATATATAAAACTGGTTAAATTATTTTCTATTTTTCTAATTTGAAAAATCGTCAACGAAATATATTTTGTTTTTAAATAAAATAAATTTCATCAGTAATCATTTTTTTTTCTTCTTAATTTGGAAAATCACATACGAAGTATATTTTATTTTTAATTAAAATAAATTTAATCAGTAATTCTTTTTAAATCTTTTTTTATTTAAAAATCACTGATATAATATATTTTATTTTTAATTAAAATAAATTTCATCAATTTTTTTAATGTAAATATTTTTTTGTTCAAAAAATGTTTAGAGACTTAATCATTCAAAATATGAAAGTTCATTGATTTTTTTTTCCAGATTTTTTTCAATTATTTTATCACATTAACCAATTGTATAAGTCATAAGAATGTATTTAACAAGTTTTAGAAAGTTCAATGAGTTATTTAATAAGTTTTGAAATGTACAAGGACTTATTTGTTCCAAAAGATTGTTCATTGACTTAATCATTTTAAACACTAAAGTCTATTGGATTTTTTTTTAGACTTTTCCCTTATTATAATGTATAATACCTATCGCTAGTTGGCAACACACCCAAAAAAGATCTCCTCCCGTTTATTTTTTTTGCTTACATGGCATAATTCAGATGAGGTGTAAAACACATGTTCTATGCTTAAAACACGTGAATATAAACACAAAATTTAAAACTCTTTCCTCGAGAACAAAACTAAGAACACTAAGGGGTTGTTTACTAGCATCTGAATCACCTCTTACCATCTCTTATTGGTAAGAGGTTCTTACAAGAGTAAGGGGCTGTTTACCAAATACTTATCCGGTAAGTGCTTACCAATAAAATTTAACATTATTATATAATTGCCGGGTAAGATTTTAGTTCACAAAAACGACATCGCATGCAACAATTTACCCAGTAAGCCCTCACTTACCGGGTAAGACTCTTGGTCATTGTCTCGCTTTTACCGGGTAAGATTCTTTATCTTTACCATATTCATCCCATGAGCTAATATGACCTGATAAGCGCTTACCTGAGTAAGCGTTTGGTAAACGGCCCCTAAGAACGGTTTGTTTTGTTCTATAACTTTGAGATACGAAACTGTTAATAAAATACCTGATTTTAAGAACATCAGAACCTTATTACGAAATGGAGGCTAATAAGATGGAGATGGAGGCCGTCGATAAAGAAGAAGGAGCTGTGGTTTTACATCTGGTTTTGGGCTTTTTGCATCTTATGCATATGAAAAATCCAAAAAGCAAAGAGGTTGGTCACGTGAAAATCTGATCATCTTGATGATATATCTGACATAACATAAAAACTTGCTAACTTATGTTATGTTAATAGGTCATCTGTTGTTAAGATAAGATAAAATTTTAAAGTAAAATATCATAATAAAAAATAATTTGAAAGTACATTGTTATCTTAGAACATCCACAATGTGAGTCTTGGAGGTTTTTATGAGATTTTTCATGAGAGGTTTTGGTCAGAGACCTGTTTTTCAAAGATTTTTGTATTTAATCAGTTTTGACTTTATAAAAATTTCGTATTTAATCAGTTTTATATGTTAATACAATCAAAGTAATTATATTTAAATTTTAATTAATAATAAAATAAATACATATTTAAAGGTAACTATTTTTTCATATATTTAAATTTTTGTATAAATTTTTACGGATTCTTTGAAAACCCAATCTTTGTGAACTCATTTTTTTTTAATTTTATACAAATTCTACAGCAAAAACACGGTAAAATTTATCTTCATAATGTTTTGCTGATAAGGCTCGGATTTTTTTAACCCACAGTTTTTGCTGTGAAGGTTCAGATTGTTTTTACCTCTACAATTTTTTGTTGTGAAGTTTTAAGTGTAAAAATTGTGGTCTCATAAGTCTTACGAAAACATTTTGGTCTCACATGAACCTAAAAAAAAACACACACACACACACACACACACACACACACATATATATATATATATATATATATANATATATATATATATATATATATATAGATGAGCGTTCAAATAAAAACCACCCTCATTTATAAAAACCGTACAAACCACCCTCATACGTCGATTTCATTGTTTAATCTTATGAAATTTTTTCATGAAATATTTTAATCTTGTGAAATTGTTTCATATAATACTTTTTTTGATGAATTTGTTTCATATATGGTTATGAAATTGTTTCATATAATACTTTTTTTGATGAATTTGTTTCATATATGATTATGAAATTGTTTCATATAATATTTAATGAAATTTTAATGAAAATGTTTCATGTATTTATCTAAAATTAAAATAATGAAGATAATAATATCCATGATTAACACTCTCTACAATAAAAATGGTTAATCAACCTCTCATAATTACAAAAAAATGAGCAAAATGAAAAATTATGATTGGTTGAATGAGGTTTTCACGGTTTTTACAAATTGAGTGGTTTTTATTTGAACGCTCCCATATATATATATATATATATATATTTGTGTGTGTGTGTATGTAGACTTGAGATCATGTGAGACAGTCTGTTTCTGTGAGACCCATGAGATCACTTTCTGACTAGCCCCTCTCAATACTCTGGGGCAATCTATGTCCATCTAGCCTCTGTTAGAGGGGGGCGACAGAGCATGTTGGAGTCTCACATATATGATATAGGAATTCCATATATTCTCAAAAAAAAAATTGTGTTAGAATCAAGTCAGATCATATATTGAAAATGTAGAAAATCAAAATTTAACATTGACCTATATAAGAAAAAGATTAATAAATAAAAACACATCTACCAATATAGAGTTGGGTTCCGATGAGAATGAGAGTTAAGATGAGAAGTGTAACTGCATAAGAAGATATTTTCATCATTAGATACACATTTGGATGAGATGCACCAAAATGTATCAAATCAATTCTTATATCAAAAACGATTTATGAATGCATTTGAGATTAAAGATAATCAAGGATTCATATATCTTCTTACAGTTTTCACCTGAATTCTTATCTTAACACGATATTTCGCACAATATATACAGAGGTGTATTTACCCTTTAAAATCAAAATGAAAATGAAGTGTCAAGTTTAGAAGGTACCATGTTGCTGACGTGGAAATTGACATGTAAGAAAGGCGAGGAAGAGTGATACATCATGATCATGGCTTCCAACACTCTCTAGAACCCGCTTCTACCTGCTTCTCTTTCACCATTTTCTTCTCTGTTGCTCTATCATCGGAAAATTTTAACACGTCGAACTCCATAATTTCAATCGATCGATAAGGTAATCAACCATGGCGGATTACCGATGGAAGAGCTTCGTGGAGGACGAAGATCGCCCCGAAAAACCACGCAGATTCGGTGTAACTGAGATACGTGGCCCAAATCATACCTCTCTCTTCTCTCACACTTTGCTTCAGGTGTTTCGTCTCTCTATTTGATCAATCAACTGCGTTTCAATGTTGATTTGGTGATTAATTGTTCCTACATTTAAATATAAATGGAGAATTTTCTAATCTGTGCATTATCAGCTTGTAGCCTGCAATTTGTAGTTAGATCAGTTTACTGGATTTCATTGTTGATCTGGTGATTAATTGTTTCTTCAAATAATCATAACTTATAGGAGAAATTTGTCCTATGTGCAAAACCAGCTTGAATTATTCCGTTTGTAGTGAGAAATTAGGATCGAAATAATTGTGGATGTTGAACAGGTTGTATTCCTTGAAGCAAGTGTTATAGCTATTACATAAGGTCACTAAATTTGCACACAGGAAAATATGATCTTAGATTGTAACTTAGGACGGTAGGAGATAGAGAAAGTGACCTGCAATCGTGTTTTCGTTTGTGTAGCTCGAGGTTTAGGTGGGAATTTCTTGCAAAGCAACATAATTTCTGTCTGTTTGGGGGTTTCTGTGTTGAGTATTTGATTTCAAATGAGTTTGTTCCTTGAAGCGAATATACCTTCTGGAACCATGAATAATGGAGTTTAATGAAGATACTGAAACAGATTTCAACAGATTTGGCACTCAAACAAGTCTAGTTCTATTGGGGAACGTAACTTTTGCCTGCACTTGTTGGTGATAGGAATAGGTCTACGATGACTTAGTCTTTGCTGTTAGGGTTGTTCAATAATGCTTCCTCTTTGTAGGGGCTGTGGCTCAGCTAGTTTTTATTTTCCAGATTTTCAGCAGACCACTCAGGGATTCTGTAATCATGTTTTCTTTTTCATCTGTTTTGCATTGCTCTGTTTAAAGAGCCTGTTTACCTTTCAATAAATCATCGATTCACCAGCGTACAAGGTTTGTAAGACCTTTTCGGTTTACAGTTTAGTACTTTGTTTTCAGTTGGTGTAGTTACCCTAATTGCTCCTTCAAACCACTGATTGAATTCACTAGCATACAAGTCTTGTAAGACCTTTTCGGGTCTGCCTTCTTCCTTGTTCCTTGACTGATAAAAGTTGGAGAATGGAATCAATGGATGATAATACCAAACCAAACCAAACAAAGCCAATATATCTCTCCCAAGGTGGGTTCTGGGGAGGGTAAGGTAAGATGTACGGAAACTTAACCTCTACTCCTAAGAGTAAAGTGGTTGTTTCCATGAAGACCCCTGACTTGTGAAAAGTGTACCAAAGAGAGAAAGTCAAGGATGATAAATAATTGAAAATTTTGTTAAGAGAAAGCAAAAGCATAGAAATGAAGGCACGCAGAAGAAAAACATAACCAACTTAAGGAAACTACACACCCCTATTCTAACTTACCACCCCATCCAGCTCCCTATCTTCCGTCTACCCTAACTATGGATCCCCACCCCTAGTCCGCTACCCAAATCCTACATCTCCACGCTCCTCCACTGTCACACTTTCTATCCTCCTTATTGGAGCCGCCATCTATCTTCTAAGAATGTGACTAAACCACCGCAAACGCCCTTCTCAACACTGTCTGGAAGACCTCGTCCAGTATCCTGTCAAACATGGTTCTATGACAGGTCCATCTAAGCATCTCCATTCTGTAACTTCCATCTTCCTCTCACGTGCCCTTCTTATTGCCCAACACTCCGATCCGTACAACATAGTTGGTCTGGTGTCTACCTTGTAAAATTTACCCTTAATATTTGACTGGACCTTCTTGTCACACAGCACCTATGTGGCAGCTTTCTACTTTAGCAACCCTACCTTGATGCAATGTGTTATGTTATCCTCAACCTCCCTGCTGAAATTGCAACATATGTATTCGGTCTTTGAACGACCAATGCACATAGGCCATGCATTTCAAGAGCCACACTCCACTGCTCAAACCTCTCTTTCAACTCCACTTTTGATTCCGCAACCAACACCATGTCGTCTGCGAATAACATACACCAAGGGATACTTCCCTGGATCTCTCGAGAAATCTCATCAAATATTACAACAAACAGAAATGGACTTAATGCCGATCCTTGGTTTAGTCCTATCTCCATCGGGAAATACTCCATCTCACCCACCAAGGTCCTAACACAAGTCCTCGTCCTGCTGAACATATCTTGGATCACATTGACATATCTTGGAGAATGGGTGATGATTATGCTATTTTCATCCAAGCATAACAAAATTGTATTACAAGTCAATTAAGTAAATCTGCACTGAGTTCCATTAGTTTGGATATCTTGTAGTTAGCTTGCTAATAGGGACTTCCTTTTTTTTTTCTTTTCGCCATTATCTTACGAGTGTTAAAGAAGGTGATTAGCCACCTTCCATTTTTCATTTGTTGATTTGGTAGCATGATTTATGAATTAAATTAGAATAATTGTGGAAATATATTGGTTTACTGTTTTCCTAAGATGTACTTGTATGCGTGTTTGCGACAGGATATGTTGGAGTCCATGGGCCAGTTTGTTGACGGTTTGAAATTTACAGGAGGCTCTGAAAGTTTGATGCCAAAATCCTTCATCAGAGAAGCGACTAAGTTGGCCCACGAACATAATATATATGTTAGTACAGGTGACTGGGCTGAATATTTACTGCAAAAAGGTTCATCTTCTTTCAAAGAACACATAGAGGTAATTGGGGTCAGAAACAGTCAAATCCCATTTCACTTACTGGTTGATGTCTGTCCTAAATCTTAATAAATCGTATGACTGTTGTAGGAATGCAAGCAACTGGGATTTGATACAGTTGAGTTAAATATGGGTTCACTTGAACTTCCTGAAGAAACTCTGTTGAGATACATACGGTTAATCAAGAGCAAAGGGCTTAAAGCCAAGCCTCAATTTGCTGTAAAGATCAACAAGGCTGATATTCCTCCGACACATGCAAGAGCATATGGTGCTCATGTCGTTCCAACACCTCGAACATCTGGTATGAATCTAGGTCTTTCTAATATATTACTGCGGTTTTTCTATTATGTGTCCTAACTCCTAAGGACACATAATAAGGAGATTTAATATGAAAATGATTATTTCCTTCTATGTCTTAATTAATTACCTTTTCAAACCTTGCCATCCTTCTTTCTTAATTGTTGCTCAATCTCTCTAGATTTATCTATATTCTCGCTTTTTTAGTTTTCTCTGCAACTAAGAAACCCACACATACACATGGCCGTAGGAAACTTTTTTTATTATCAAAGTAAATCAGTGAGAGATTAAGTTTTTGCTTCAAGGAAAAAAAAATTGGTGAGATATTATGTGGAATGATTTGGTGTAGAATGATTAAGTGACTGTTAATCATTTACTGCAGGATGAAAAATGAATGTTTGGTAACTGTTTTGAATGGACAATCTGAAAGAAAAAAATTACCATTTTAATCTTCTATATGATGAAGGCGACTGTTTGATAGGTGTTCTGAATTAATATAAACTACCTTGGAAAATCTTCTCTACCATTCTCTTTCTATGCACTTTTTGTGTACTATACACATTCTTTTATTTTTGGGTATGGGTGACAAACTCTGTTGCTCCATTTTAAGCTAAATAAGTTTGGAGGAGTCTACCAGATCCAGAGGGATTATCAAAATAACTTTTGAAGGCAGTCTTCATTTAACACACCTTAGGCTATATCTTCATATGACATCAATCTGGTAATTTATGTAGCCTTATGTAGTCAAAATAGAAGGTTTTGGTAAAATTCATGCAGTCTTAACCAGCCAATCTGCTCTACTAAAAAAGCTCGTGAGATACTCGATTTCTTTTATATAATTAGCCTTATAACATAATTTGTAAAATATAAGGTAAAGATTTATTAATAAACTTACCAATAACAGAAAAATGTTGTTTTTTAGATATTTGAATGAAGATGTACATTTTTTAACTATAAAGATTAATCAATTAAATTTTATGTATTAGTCCTAATTAGAAACAAGGAAAAAACTATAAAAGTGTTGGTAAAGTTGTCCCACATTGGAAGAGAGACAACAAACGAAGGGTGAAGTGGTATTATAGAAAGAGGGAAAAGTAAATGAAGTTGTAACTTTAATTTGAGGTGCACCCCTTTGAGTTCTATGAATTTCAAGTGTATTTTAAGTTCCATAATTTATAAGAAAAATCCTTAAATTTTATAAATTTCAACGGGTAAGCTTGCTTCGAGCTTAATTTGAGTTCAAATTTGTGCTTGGTTTGAGCTCGAGCTTGATTGGAGTTCGAGCTTGATTCGAGTTTGATTTTGAGATTGTCTCGAGCTTCATACGAGTTCGAGTAAAAAATTGCTATCGAGTTCGACTTGAGTTTAGTTTTTAATTATGCACGAGTTTTCGAGTCGAATTCGAGCCTAGGAAAAGTCTATCGAGTTCGAGCACATACCAAGGTGTGAGCTTGACTCGCATCATTTACACCCCTACCTGCATACCTCATTCTCCCCTGCTTAGTCTATTTCAGTCCTGTCCGTCTCCAAATGCACTGTAAATGTCTAAAATAGGATTGCAAGTTGATGTTTTCAGATATTAGCATTGGGTAACAATCTATAACACTTCATAACCAGCGACCGACAAAGGCCTCCTATGCTATGATATATCCAGTCACGAACTATTTGATTGTAGGTCACTTGAAGCTAATCTTAACATAGTCTCCTTAGTTCTGCATCAACACTTTACGCAAACTGCAAAAGATGGGAAATGAAAAGCTATTCATATCATGCAGAACGTGTGGAGGATGTCGATTTCTTGATCAGAAGGGCTGAGAGATGCTTGGAAGCTGGAGCAGACATGATATCAATTGATGCTGAAGATGTCTGTAAATATGCCGATTCCGTTAGGGCAGACATCATAGCAAAGGTGATTGGACGTCTAGGACTCCAAAAGACCATGTTTGAAGCATCCAATGCCAAAACATCCGAGTGGTTCATTAAGCAATATGGTCCCAATGTACTTTCTTCCCTTTCCTATCTATCTATTGTTCATACTTGTATGACCTATTTGTTGTGCACTAGTCTTAGAAGCATCCACAATGGTAAGCTTTTTTTTCATTATAGCTCTCCCGGATAGAGATATTATTTATAAAAGAAGTGGGACCCACAAGCTTAGGCGGCCAAGAAAAAGAAGCTTATTGAGAGCTTCTGCATTTACAAGCAAAAAGTGTCATCTTTTGTCAAGAGCTTGTTCATTTAAATTTTTTTTGAAACTTTTCTACCCCTGAGGCAAGTTTTATGTACATCCTACCCCAGACCCTACCTCTGCATGACATATATATAATATTATATATAATACTGTATATATATAGAGAGAGAGAGAGGGAGGTTCAGGGGAAAACCTAAAAAAATGAAAAAGTGAGGAACATCCTTGTAACCTTTCATCTGGACGGTATACAAAAAAGAACATTGTCCAACTGAATGGTTACTGTCTAAATGAATGATTACCAGGGTGTTCCTCAATTTTTATTTTTTTGCATGAACCTTACCCTATATATATGTGTGTGTGTATATATATATATATATATATATGTTTGTTTGGTTTGGTTACACATCTATTGTTGTTGATTTCTTTTTCGTCGTTTGGAGTACAGGTTAACCTTTTTGTGGATCATTCTCAAGTGCTGGATTTGGAGTGCCTTCGAGGACGTAACCTGGGAAAGAACCACAATTCGGTTCTTGATTCTTCCTATTTTCTAGTTTAAACTTTGTTGAAATAAAGTCTACTTCGTGTGGTGGTCATGCTTATAAAACTGTGGTTTGATGCAATATATTATTCCCTTTATATGTACCGAGAGAGTGTAATAACGATCATGGATTTCTTTGTTTCATTGTGTTCCCCTGGATTCACTCGCATCTTGGGAGAAGCTTACATGACCGTTCTATATCAGGTTAGCTTTCGCCAACCGTCTTTAAAAAATTGCTAGTAGTTGATCAATTTAAACATCGTGTCCAATTAGCATATCTATGGTTGGGGTCTATTTACCAAACCAAACGGTTAGAGTCCCGCACTAGTTAGACTTCAACCTACTCTTCTTGATATATTTTGGAACCTTCTTTCTTTCTTCAAGGGCTCTTTTGAAAAGTAATCTATTGAGGTTCCACATATCCTAACATGGTATCAGAGTCGAGGTCTACCATCTTAGGGACTCGACAATTAAGGGACAATATATGCCCATCTAGCCTTCATTGGAAGGGGAGGGGAGGGGCTTGGACCTGTTCCTCTCAATATATTTTGGAATATCGGTTATCTCCTCAAGGGCTTTTTTGGATAGTAATCTAGTAAGGTTCCACATATTCTAACACAAGCGAGTGCAATATATCACACCTAGAGAAGGTTTTGGAAGAGTAATGTATGCATACCTGACATCAACTCTAAAATCCAGAGTGACTATGTCTTTTCATATCCTCGGAAATGCCTAAAACCGCGATATCCAACCTTAGTAAGGTTTAGGTCTACTTAAAAATCGTATATCAATTAAATTGTCACCGAGTTGTCCACCCTCGGAGAACACTCGTAGAAACATGAGCTGTGACGACAAAGCTGCGTTTGTTCAAGTGGTCGAGATTCCTAATGTCCGAGTTCAACTTCCAAGTGTTCTTCACTGAATTAAATCCGTCGATGGGTACGGTATCTCGAGTTTTTAGAACAGTAGTTGTTTCTCATCAATAAAAACCAACTGCTCAGCTCCCAGTTTTCTCTCTCTAAAGTTGCAGTCTCTCCATGTCCTTTGGTCCACCTTTCATTTTCAAGAAAGTTCTTCAAGAAACACATCAAGATCACACCTCAAGAAAAAAGAAGCCATAATTTGGGACCCAGAAATTGATTTCGTAATTAAACCCTTAACCAGCTGGAACACTTATCCATAGATGAACTTTGATTTTTTTTCTTTTTGTTATCGACAACCGAATCTCGAGTTAAATCCAAGTTTTCATGAAAGGGATTCAACATATTCTAACATGGTATCAGAGCTGGATCTAAAACCTGTTAAAAGTTTGGGTATAGCACCACCTATCACTGCTAAAAACATGGGCATCGTCACGAATATTACCAACAGAACACCAACAATTTTGTAAACCCCAAAAACGGACTTTGGTTTATTGACGGATTATCCAAACCATGCAACGACCTTGAAACCCAAACCATGGGTGATCCATCGGTAAATGACTACATCATGAATTCGATGGTAGAAAGGACGTGGATAATTTGTCGGCAAACTGTTCTTTTTTGGAAGTATATAATATTTATGTACTGCAAATGCAACAAATAAACTCATACGTACTCGTCACATTTGGTGACGTTTGAACCCCTGACCACCTAGGAGGACAGAGACTCCGATATGGTTGATTTTATTATAACGTGTATAAATAACTTGTTGCGACTCATTACGATGGACAATTCCATTGGTATTTGCAAAATCCGTTGATAACCACCGTTGGTAAAGTTTGCCGGCAGATAACTTCTATCTGAAATCTATGGGTAATGTTGGTCTTTGACGGATATGTCAGTTGATGATATTTTTTTTAAGTATATAATATTTATATACGACAATGTTACAAAAGAACTCATGCACTCTGCTCGCTTTTATGATGTTGGAACCCTTGACTACGAAGAACGGCAAAGGTCCGGATACTGCTAGAATAAAGACTCTTTGGTGTGATATTGTGGTTTTTGTAGCATATGGAATTCGACTGTGTTCCACATATTCAACAATCGTTTTTCTGGTAAAATTGACGACATCTGTAACGATCTTCTAATGTTCATCAAAACGCACAATGGCATGTTGTATAATCGTCGTTAACGAATTTAAATGATGTTGTGGTTGATAAAATCATGTATGAAATACAAACCTAGTATTCTTTACAAACATACAAACCAGTTCCATTTTATATATGTTGTGAAGCAGCAAATGGGAAAAATGAAGTGGTTTTATAATTGTCATCAATATGTATTTTATAGGGTAACACTCATAGAAAAACAATATGAATTGTAACTTAAAATTAAAAATTTCTAAGGTTCTGTTTGGTTTGTAGGAATGAAATAAATCTGGATTTCAAATCCATTTCAATTTCAAATCCATTCCAATTTCATGTTTGGTTTGTTGGATTGTCCGGATTTCAAATCCTAAGACTTAATTGAAATCCTATAAACATAGGATTTTGAAATCTTTAGGGAGTGATGGGGATTTCATTGGATTTCGTAGGATTGTATATTTGTATGCAATAAGGTTCTAAAAAATGTTAAAAATTAAACACAAGGGTGATTCCTGATTGGTTTGAGCTTGGCTCCAAAGGTCAAAAGTACTAGAAGATCTCAGGTTCAAATCCAAGGAGGACTAAAAATCCCCTTGTGGCCACGGAGGTTCAAATATGGTGACTCCGGACTATCTGCAAAATAGGTGACCCCTTAAGATTAGTCGGCTCGCATAGCGGGTTGGATATCCAGGTTAATAAAAAAAATGTTAAAAATGTTTGTTTCGTAATAATCGATTAATAACTAAGGATTTTAAATCCATTCCAATCCAAATCTTTTCAAATCCCTCCATGAAATCTAAATCCCTCAAAAATAATCTTGCAAACCAAATGGAGCATGAGTTCCTTTTAACCAATACCAACTGTATTTGATTCAAATTATGCACTTGAGCAACTAAGGTGCTCTGAATCAAGTCTAAATAAGAGAATGTTGCACTTATTTTGAAATTTGAACGTAAGAAAATAATCATTAACCGACAAAACAGAACCCTTTTCAAGAACCTGTCATCCTCATGTCCATGTAAGATTCATCCGAAATGTTACAAACATCCCATCAGAGACCCATCCTCCTTGTGAGGTTTACCCCCCATGGCCCCACCATTCCTATGACACAATAATTGACCATGGTACCTTGTTGTAACATAACATTCCAAACAACAAATAACATAATGATATTATCTGTTTTCTCTGTAGTACTCACAAATTTTAAAATGTTGGGGAGGGGGGAGGGATTACTCGTTATGCATGTATGAAATCTGTGTTGTTCATCGATGATGTGAGATTTACTCAGATGTCATGTGCTACATATACAAGACGTTCAGTAAAATTTAACTCACACGGTTTTACAATAGAAGTACTCTCATTTTCTCTCTCTCCTTGCTCTGGATATATTTATCTGCGATATGATCACTTAGGGGTTGTTTGCTTGTTTGGTTAGTTTTCCATTAAGGGGCTGTTTACCAAATTTTCTATTAAGTCCTGTATGGATAAATTTGTCTGTCTGGATAAATTTATGTTGTTGTTTACTATTCTATCTGAATCAACAGTCTGAATAATAGAAATGACCAATTTACCCCTTGAGTTTGAACTACGCATTGTTGCTTCTCTCCTCATCTCTCTTGACTTCCATGAACAAAAAACCCAAAAACCAAAATCAAAAACCAAGAACAAAAACCAAAACCTGCATCTCCTTCCTCAACAAAACCTGCATCTCCTCATCTCTCTCGACTTCGATGCATCACCAATCGAAATCCTAATCTCCAAAAGCAATGACATGAAAACCCCAAAATCGAAATCCTAATACCCAAAATCGAAATCCTAATACCCAAAATCGAAACCCCAAATCGAAATCCTAATACCCCAATCTCCAAAAGCAATGACGTGAAAACCCCTGCGTCACCGAAATCGATTTGAAGTCTATGCGAAAGACAAGTGGAGGTGAAACCTGTAAACCTGGAGGTGAGTGGCGATGGGAAAAAGAGGCGACAGCGTTGGATGGCAGTGGTGGGCGGAGGAGATTGATGGTTGGTGGTGAACACAGGCAAGGATCGATGGAGAAGAAGGGAGGTGAAACCTGTAAACCTGGAGGTGAGTGGCGATGGGAAAAAGAGGCGACATCGTTGGATGGCAGTGGTGGGTGGAGGAGATCGATGGTTGGTGGTGAACACAGGCAAGGATCGATGGAGAAGAAGGGTAGGGCAAGTCTTTTGGCCGGCTTAATCTGGACAAGTGCCTTTTTTCATCTGGGCGAATAAGCCCATTTCTGAGCGATTAAGCTCAAAGTAAACAGCCTTGAGCGTCTGTGCAAATAAGCCAATTTATCCACTAAGCTCATTAAGCCATAAGTAAACAGGCCCTAAGTCATGTATGGATAAAGTTCTCTGTATGTATTAATCTGTCTATATATATTGAGAAAGTTTTTGTTTGAGATATTTTACATATATGCAAAAACATGTTTTTTAATTGGGAGAGGTAGATTTGGAAAAGGAAAACTTGGCTTCTAGTCGGATTAAGCTCCCTTTAAAAGCTTATTAAATAAGTCATTTTCAATATCAAAAAGTCATTTAGCTGACTGAATAATTGAATGATCTGTGAGTCTCATTAAACTTATTAAGCTACTAACAAACATGCCCATACTCGATTATTGTAAAGCAACTCCCAATATGCCCTTACTCAACCGCTGAGTGACCCACAAAATACCCCCTCACATTATGGTCCTTGGAGACTGGTTTTGTTTGGGCCCAGTTAGAGTTGTCTGTAACAAAATTTCAAAAAAAATGGAGAAAATATAGATTTTGAAGATCTATTCAAACCTTTTTACTCTTAATATATTTTTTAAAACTTTCTTCAGAATGAAAAAAAATATAAAAAAAAAGATAAAAATATCTCCAAATTTTATTGAAAAAATAGAGAAAAATGTATTTTTTATATATTGTTTTAACCAATGAAGTTGAAATTATTATTATTTATATAAAATTTATTGAGATATTAAATGTATTTAGCATTTTAATAAAATAATTAATATTGAAATCTCCAAAATAGATTAATTGTTGTAAATTTTTTTAGATTTTAATTTTTAATTCTATATTTTAAAGAAATTATAAATTATCTTGGTAGACGTCTCTTAAGAAATCTCTAATAAAATGTCCAAAATGAATATTTTAACCTTTTCTTCTACGTATTTTAGATTTTTTAAAATAGAAAAACTAAAGAAAATATAGCTTAAGTGTTTTTTAATCTATTTTGTAAATAAGAAAACATAAGTTAATATTTTATCTGAAATTGTTTTAATATTTTAAAATTAAAGGGTTTTTGCTTTAACAGTATCGTAATCTTTGATTTTTTAGAAGGTCAGAAGTTCAAACCTCACTAAATGTGAGAAGAGTGTATGAGTTTATTTGTTGTATTTGTCTGTATATAACTATTACATACTTCACATTATTTTTTCTTTGATAATTTGGACTTTGTTTTTATATTTAACAGAAATTATTAATAAATTATTGGAAATACTCTAAGAAAATAGAAATATTTTACCTTTTTAAAACAAAATCAATTATTAACAAATTTAGTTCTAACAATTTGGAAATTACAAATAAACTACAAATTTGGTCCTTGTAGTTTCTCAAAATAACAATTTAGTCCTTATAATTTTAAAAATATGAATTAACCATCATAATTTGTAAAATATTTAGTTTTAATCCTTTTTTCTAACAACCGTTAAAAAATTCCATTACATAACGAAAAATTTAATCATTTAATCAATTCATTTTATTTTTTCCTCCATCAAAATCAATTTTACAACTTCATTCCCACAACTTATGATGAAATTGGATTGAGTAATGAAAATGAGAATAAAAATGAAAATGGCAGGATTCCCTCTAATTTAATCAGGAATGTAATTTTGGGCTTATGACGGAATCAGGGACGGACCCAAGAATTTTTGGATACGGAGGCACCATATAAAACGGTTGCACCTTTCACGAACCTAATTTTTTTTACCTTATCACGGAGGTATAATACGGTGACATGTGCCACCTAACCACCCCTCTAGGTCCGTCTATCGAGGGAATGATCTCATTATATTATAGAAAACCAAATAATTTCTTTTATTTTCATTCTCAATAATTACTGCTTAATACTCGTATTAAAGAAGAGAAGAAATCGGTAAAATGACTAAAATAGCCTTGGGTTGAGCTGTGCTAACTTTGTGCCGACTCGATCACCATTATCCTTGAAATAAAGTAGCTTCGCAAGTATTTAGCCGTGACTCTAACGCAAACGTCTCTTTCCTTCTCTCTCTCTCTCTCTCTGAATCCCTAGAGAGAGAAATTTGTGTTTTGCAGAGAGATTTATATTCACCAACACAACGATTTGCAGACCCCATTTCTCCCCATTTATCATCATCATATATTCATAAAATCAACCAAAATCCAACAATTAGCACAACAATGGCGAAGAAGAAAGCTACCATGACTCTCAAAGACTTCCATGGCGGTTCAATTCCTTCTGATCTTCCTCTTCCTTCTGCTCCTGGCGTGTAAGTTCCCGATTTTGGATTTATGATTTATGATTTATGATTTCTCGATTTTTGTTTGATTCGATTACGAATCTCTTCTGTTATTGTTTACTGATTTGGAGATACGTGATTTAGATCTGATGTTTATGCCAGATGGTTTGTGTGTTTTGTTGATTTGATGGTGTAAGTGAAAGATCTGGTAGTGAAAAACTCGAAACCCTAGGTGAAAAGTTTCCCCTTTTTGACGTGTAGTAATATATGTACTACCTTCGGTCAAGAATTGAAGAGATGCTATTTGATGTTCAATGATTGATTTTCGACTTCAAAATTGTTGACATGTTTTTGGGGAACAAATTTATTTACATTTAGAGTTTAATCGCAATTACTACGTAAAGGAATGATGGATTCAAATCAACATGTTCGTATTATTTTTTGTTTGATCTCTAAACTCACCATTAGATTTTGTAATTGAGGAACTGTATATAAATACACACACACATATAGAGGGAGAGAGGGTGAGGTTTGAGGGAAAATCGTAAAAAATCGAAAAACTGGGAAGGTAACCTAGAAGCAACTTCAATTACTTGTATACAAACGGTTACCAAGGTGTTCTTGGTTTTCCATATGAATGGTTATTATAGTGTTTATCACGGTGTACACCTGTGTATACAAGTAATTTGTCAGATTTGCACATGTGTATAGAAACCAAGAAGCATTTTCAATTACCTTTTACATGTGCATGCCGTACATATGAATGATTATGATAGTGTTTCTCATTTTTCCATTTTTTATGGCTTTCCCCTGATCCAAAGTTATAGACTCATGTTCAAGGGAAAACCATAAAAGAGTGAAAAACTATTAATTCGTAGGTATGCACATGTGCATAAAAATGATTGATATATTTCCAGGTTTCTATGCATGTGTACATTTTATGCACCTGTACATACCGTACAAATTACTTTTTTTGCATGTGTGCATACCATAATGATGAATGGTTATTAGGTGTTCCTTAGTTTTTCATGTTTTTCTGTTTCTGAACCTGAGACACTTGTATTTGTTTGCTTAATCTGGTATTTAGATCGTCTGGTAGTAAGTGAAAACATAGTGAGGTTTTAATTTTCTTTGTGCTTATAATTTTGTTTATTTGTGATTCTTATAGAACCGTGAGGCCTTTGAATCATGCCGGATTGGACCGTCATACTTCTTGGATGAATCCGATGGGAAGGCAAGATCACAGGCTTCGACCAGGTTCAGCAGGCGCTGTAAGAACTTATGATGATAAGACTCCTTTTCTCACTCACAATGTGCAAATTGGTCGTAATTTTGATGAAGATGAGCGAAAACCATTGGACGGGGGTTCTGCTCCACGTCGAACCGTAAGTGATGAGAACATTCGTGGTGGCGTGCCCGTTCGCCAGGAGCCAAAATCTGATTATCCGTTAGCGGTCAATGTGCCCAGCCGACCTGCCACCACTCCTCTTTCTCAGTTTCCCGGTGGTGGTGGTGGTAGTACGGGTTCTTATGCCGCCAGGTTTAGTGAAACCGCTAACGTTGGAGTGAACTCTCAGAATGTTAGTAGTGGTAGGAGAACTTTGGGGTCGAGTAACTCGAACGTCATTGAGGTTGTTAATGGGCCATCCCCAAATGCATGGGGACCTAGGAAAGCGGTGGTTGGACCTTCTGAGCCCGTTGTTGCTTCTTGGTCTGCACCAGATGCTGCAACCAAGTTAGCCCACGCGAGTGCACTCGAGAAGGTTTCTTCTGGTCGGTGGCACTCGAACCAACATAAGCAGATAGATGTGGAGGTCATTAGACATCCTGAACCCGAACCTAAAGTGCAAACAAAAGGAAATTCATACACCACGTTTTCCTACGGTTCAACGGAAAGGGAATTCCATGATGCTTCTTTGGCCAGGCATGCGGGCAGGAGTTTGACCATAAACGACGGGTCAACGGTGGCTGCACGTGAGCCATCGTCTTATGAACGGAGTAGAACTTTTGTGCATCCCGATATGAAAGATAAGGGTCCTCCGAATGGAATTCAAGTACAAGTTCAGTCCCCTCATAGTGGCGGAACATTTGGTGGGTCGGAGTTGCATCCTTCTTCTCCTTCGGAGTTATCTGAGCGACCCAAATTAAAGTTACTTCCGAGATCTAAACCAGTTGACAATTTGGAACCTGTTGTAGCTTGTAAGCAGGTATTTGAAGTAGGAATGTTTGGATAATATGTTTTTAAACATTTGGTTTCTTGTGTCGATGTTATATGGTGGTAATCATCTTCTCCTTGTAGACTATCCCACCATCAAGCGAACCAGGCCTCGTGGATATTGGAAACGACACTTATGGAAATGTGAATTCCACAATACATAGTTTAGCTGGACCAGAGGATGGCCATCAAGCATTTGAGCGACCTAGAGTGAATTTAAAGCCACGGTCACAGCCCCCTGAACAAATGGAAAGAAACGTTGAACGAGAAAGGTTTGTGAACCATCTCAAAACTTTTTATAGTTTTTCTTTGTTCATTCTCGAGAATATATTTTTGACACCTATCACCTTCCCTATTGGGAAAAGTATCTCTTTTCTACGAATAATGTGACAACTCTTCGTTATGATATCACCTTCCCTATTGTATTTTCTATAGGGCTTTGTATATTTGCTTTAGGGCCTGTCTGTTAGCAGTTTAATGAGACTTGGAGCTTATTCGATCTACTATAGAAGGCTGTTTGATAGTGGCTTAATGATATAGAATGTGGCTTATTCTGTAAGTTTCTAGGGGGAGTTTTATGCAAAAAGACAAAAAAATTCAAACCTATTCCTCCCAATTAAAAAACACTCTCATCCATCTATCAAAAAACCCTCCGAAACAAAAACCTTTCCAATCTATACAAACAAATTAATACACACAAACAACTTTATCCATACAGAATTTAATGGAAAACAAACCAAACGGCCACATTAAGCCACTACCAAACAGTCATGTATAGCTGATCGAATAAGCTGCGATTCCCATTAAGCTCATTAAGCTGCTACAAACATTCCCTTATTTGTTGATATCAAAATGCTTTTCGAGTAATAAAGAGATATGTTTGTGAAAGAACTATGTGGACTCCAGGCATGCAGGTAATTGCATTGATGCCTTTAAGTTGTGATACATGTGAATAGATGACAATTCACATTTTTGTTCTCAATGAAAGAAAAAGATAAAAAAAACCATTGTTTTGATATGTTTTAGCACTTTTGCTAATAGTTTACTTGTCTGCAGGAGCACTTTGTTTGGTGGTGCCCGCCCTCGAGAATTGGTAAGGAACACTTGTAATTGTTCATTCAGGGTGTGTTTGGTGAATTACCAAACTATCCATGTCAAATTGGTAAGGAACAAGACATGACAGAACAAAAATTAATCTTACGCAACAATTAGAATGGGACTAAGTGGTAAATTACTAAACTACCCCAGTCAAGTTAAAACCCTAAAACCTTCTATAATTCTTTTACTCACCTACCTCAATCTTGTCCGTCCAGTTCTGTCTAGTCTCATCTCCATACCAAATGCACCCTGATGATTATGGTTTGCCAAACTGCCTCGTGAAGTAATGATGTGGTTTCATTGACTGCTCACATGCTTACGTTGACCTTACGTATTTTTTAACGACACATTTGTTTAACATTGGTATTGCTACCGTTGCTGGTCGTGCTGTCAGGTTCTGAAGGAGCGGGGAGTCGATGATGTTGCTGTAAATCATGACATGGTCCAGTCTCCTAATAGGTAAATATTCACTTCGATAAGTGTCTAAATTTCTACTTTAGTTTGTCCCAAAATAAGTGTTCACATTCCAATCATACCCTCAATTATGAGATGGAGAAGTTCATTATTGTCTCTATTATTAAGGGTAAAATTGTCATTTGGTTAGTTAAAATTGTCATTGTGGACATTTATTTTGGAAAAGAGGGAGTAGAAGAGATGAATATTCCCCTTTAAAAAGGTAGTCTTCAAGATCAAGTGGAACAAAAATCAGAGAGACTAGACAAGACTACCCATGCCAAATTAGAACTGTGAAACTTCCAGAATTCTTTCACCCGCCTACCTAACTCTCGCTCGGCAGTCTAATCCGCGTACTTAAGGGTGCGTTTGGTACAGTGGACAGGACAAAACATGGATCCTTGTTCTGCATTTGACAGGACTCTTATGTGGAACAGAGTGGAACAAACTGGAACAGACGTGTTCCACTCAGTTACATTGGTAAAGTATAGGTTTGTTTCACCTTATTTTACCAATGTAACTTCAAAATAAAACCTAATCTCTTCTAAAGCATCAAAGAAGCCTCCCTCTTTACTTTTTGTTCTTTCTTTAAATTTTATTTATTGTATTATATGCTCTTTAAACTTTCACTTTACTGTCCTCAAAATATTATTTTTATACGACTTTTATATTTTTGTTATTTTATGTAATTTATTAAATATTAATAATAAATAAATAATATAGAAAAGGTATAAAGTAAAAACCGGAAACTACATAAACTTTTTATTTTGGTGTCATGTTAATTGTCTTGTCGAAAACTTTTTAATGATATATTTTGTTATAAAAAATATTAATTTTATTATAATTTAATAAATTGCATAAATTAACCAATATATGTAAACAATATGAATAACTCATCAGGACTTTTGTGAAAGTTACAATAATCATGGAGTGAGATAATAAGTAGGGCTAAAAACCAAACCAAGAATTGTTTGGTTGGTTTTCCATCAAGTCCTGTATGGATAAAGATGTCTGTGTGGATTATTCTGTCTATATAGATTGAGAATGTTTTTGTTTGGGAGGGTTTTTCCATAGATGAAAGGAGTGTGTTCTTTACCTGAAGGGACAGTTTGGAAGAAAAAAAAACTCGGCTTTCTGCATAAAGTTCCCCCTAGAAGCTTGCTGAATAAGCTACTTTCTATATCATTAAGCTACTACCAAACAGTCGATTATAGCTATCTGAATAAGTTGAGTCTCATTAAGCTCATTATGCTGCTAGTTATACTGAACCCGTCAAAACTATGTCGTTTGTTTTTCTCTTTGCAGGATGAAAAAGGAAGTCACTAATCCAGCTGTGCACCCAACCATTACTCCACGTCAAAACGGGAAACCCGAACCCCTCGATCATCATAGAGCCGGAAAGACCATCGATAGGCGAGACCCAGAAAAATCAGAAGCTCAGAGAAGAAGCAACTGGAGAAATGAGAGTCGTAAGAGCAGCAGGGACCTCGAGAAACAGCCGCCGCCGCCACCACTACCACAGGAGCGGCCGCCTTCACCGGAAACCTGGCGCAAACCCGTGGAACCCGCACCACCTGTCGGACCACGTTATGGAAAAGCAGCTTCCGCGGTCGAGCTAGCCCAAGCCTTCTCGAAATCGGTCTCGGAACCGAAGGTAGCCGCTACCGACCGTTTCTCTGGTCCAAGAGGGGTCTCTGGGCAGGGCCAAATTCCGTTTTCTCGCTTAACCAGTCAGCCTACGACTAGGCCACAGATCAACGGACACTGATGGTTTGGTCAAACCAACGAACGAAAGAACGAACCCATTCTCGATGAAGCTCAGGACTTGACGGCAGGTTCGAGTAAGTTTCCGAAAGTACCCCTTGGACTGGTTTCATCATATAACATGATGTGGGGTGTTCTGATGTTGCATCTGGTTTAGAAAAACCTCTCCATGAAAAACTAGAAAAAGGGAAGTGGGAGAAAACAATAAGATCTTGTTTCTCCAATGGTCTTTTAGTGAAGGGTAAAATAGTCTTTTTGATGCACCCAATCATTTGTTTTCTTAAGATGTTTTGCTTCTTTTAGATGATCTTAAAAATTCTCTCTTTCTTATCATCTTTTATTTGCTAGATTTATTTATTACCTCAATTTTCATCATGGAATGAATTATAATGGTTTTGCATAGTTTGTGTGTGAAACTATGTACGGCAAATGAAACTCTCACACGTTACTTGGTTGGGTTACTGGATACTGTTGGTTTAACGGTCTTCCTTCATACACTCGTGTCGTGTCGACCATTTGGTATTCAGAGTCGGGAGCCTCATGAACCCCATAAGATTGGTTGTATGGCAGACCGACAGTGTCACGATTAATGAGGGTGTTTACGGTTTGGTTTGAATGTTTTTTAACATGTCAGACCGTAAGTGATGGTGTGAGAATTTTTGAACCGTACCGTTTTGAATGAGTTGACCAAACTGGTCAAATTAGACCGTATTTTTATGGTCTGGTTTGATTGGTGTACATGGTTTGGTTTGGGTTAATTGGTGAAGAATCTTGAATAAAATGCTAAATTTGTAAATTGACTAAATCTTAAAGGAGTAAAAACGTAAAATCTTGAAATTAAATTTCAATTTTCATAAAAAAAAGCAATAGGAAAGCTCCAAATACGGTTGGTTAAGCTGTCTGTATAAAATTCAAAACCGTATTGTGTTATGTCTTAAGTTTCAGTTATTTTTCAAACCGTACTGGACCACAAAATCACTCAAACTCTATAGATTGTGCTATTTCATTAGTTTCAGCTATTTTTCAAACCACACTGGACCACGAAGTCTCTCAAACTGATTTTGTTTCCAACACCCGTACGAGCATTAAACACGTCATGATTTTTTGAAAGACAAACTTCATGATTTTACAATGTAACTCGGTTCTCTGGGTTATCATAGTGTTGGAGCTGGTTCATGTACACCACCTCAACTAATTTTATAAGACCTAGAAATAATAATCATTAAACCTTCAGTAACCATAAATAAACGTGACCTACGGATAACATGGCATGTTTCTTGTTTTAGATTCCAAAAATGGATTACACACATATTACTGATTGTCTATCGTATACAAATACTGCCACAATAATAAAACCGACGAAGAAAACTAAAACCAGAACGGGGTTGAGATCATATTCCATGAATCTTTAATCCTGAAATTCAAGAATAAAATTCAAAATGATGAATAAAATTGCAATAAAATGAAACTTTATTTTGATTCTAATCGTATCATGAACGTAACACGTTCGGTTAATTGGATCAAAGACAATACGTCACAAAAAATAAACGAACAAGTTGAATTCAATTTACACAAAGAAGTGTCAATTAAGGGGGTGTTTATGATTGCTTATAAAAACAACTTATTGACTTATTCCGGTGTGACACCGGTAATAAACACTTTTAAAGTGTTTGGATAAACAACTTATACCGACGTCAAACAGATAATAAGAAGTTTTTGAAGAAGTTAAATCATTTTAACTTATAATAAGTTGATAAGAACTTTTGTAGAAAAACATAACTGGTTTCAAACAAGCAATCCCAAACACCCCATAAAACAATAAAAATGCAACAAACTGAAAAAACAACTGGTTTTTAAGTTAACGCGATGATTGAAAAAAAGAAACATTACTTACACAAACTCGTTTCTGTATCCATAAGGCGTATAACTGGATGTCGACAGTTTTACATTCTTCATGCCTTTGTTACCAGGTTTGACGTACAACTGTATTCTCTCCGCCTTGATCACATCTTCCTCAGAAATCGTGCACAACGATGGCCGCCACTGGACTGGCTGCCGCCAACTGTTCCTGCCCATCTTACCACCGCCAAGAAGCTTATTTTCACGAACTAAACCAACAACAAGACTCTTATCGTCATCATTCCTCTTTGAATTCAGTGCCACCGATGACTGATATTGATCGATGCCACAACAGGCAACCAGAGTTATTAGAAACCTCATATTTGATTCGTATTTTGATCACTTCTATTCCAAGAAGCGTTGAAGAATCTACATGTGTTTTGAAGACGGAAATACGTGCTTTAAATATATTATTTTTTATAATATTTTATTTTATTTTTTTATAAATCAATTTGAAGCCGGCAGGTTTTGATGGTGATGTTTTCCCGCAATTAAAGCACTTTTTTTGAATTATTGTAATTAAAAGTAGATATGGTGGATTTATGATATGATTCCAAAATGAATATTAATATTAAATATTTTAGTAATATTAATTGATAATATTCGGTAACCGAAACCCGATTAAATCGGGTCGATTAATCTTCTATCTCGTAAAAATACCAGTGTTCTAAAAAATTTGCTATGCATCTGTGGCCTGTGAGCTAGGGATGGTGATTTGTCCCGACCCGAACATGGACGGGGATTCCCCACTAAAACGGGTACCGGGGCCGGGGATCCCCAGTAGACTCAAACAGGGGACAGGGGATGTTACTCGAACCGGGGCCGGGGATCCCCGGTAGAATCAAACTAAAGAATACTATTTATGAGGTTTAACCGGGGATTGCTAGAGATTTGACCGGGGACGGGATGATAATCCTCGTACCCGTCAGGGACCGGGCCGGAGGACGTTACTACAAACCGGGGCCGAAAATTACAAAACCCGCTCCATCCCCGCCATGTTGCCATGCATACTGTGAGCTCGTAGCATACTGTGGTTCAAGGCTTGTCATGAATGCATTGTTAAGCTCGTCGCATGCCATGGCTTGATGCATGGTTTTTATGAAGTGTTATTTGTTTTTTTGTTTTTTTTTTTTTTTACATTTTTGATGTCGTAGTTTTTAGTTTTAACCTAATTGAAATTGTTTATATGAATGACTTATTGAGTAGTAGTAAAAAACATGTATGTGTGTGTGTGTGTATAGGATTGGGTTTACGTGAGAACAACTTGTTTTCGTGAGACCCATGAGACCACTTTATACACTTAAAACTTCATAATAAAATGCGGTGAAGGTATAAAAAAAAAGTTGAACCTTTACAGCAAAAACACTGTGAAGGTTATTTTCATAGCGTTGTGCTGTGAAGTTTCAAGTGTAAAAAGTGGTCTCATGGGTCTCACGAAAACATACTGGTCTCACGTGATCTCATGCCTATATGTATGTGTGTGTGTGTGTGTGTATATATATATATATATATATATAGATAATACATATTTGTTGTCATAAGTTAACCCTTGGAAAACAGTGTGGTCTTGCCATGACTCCTAAAGTTTAAGGCTTGACCTCAGAGGCCGAGGCAGATCCATTCTAAATGATGCTATTATGCTACCAGTTAACCTTAACAACGATTTTTTACATCATCTTGTACAGTTAGGTAAGAGAATCTCCAACAGTTATGCTATTTTAGAAATTTTGAAGATTTGAGAAAAGTTTGCTCGAACACCTATGCTAAACTCTCTTAGAAAATATAAAAAAAGAAAGAAAATATAACATAACTATTGAAGATGCTTTTTAACGGGTTGTATTACTAAAGAAAGGTGACAACTCCCAAGTTTGATTCCATGCAAATATGATCTCAACTAACTTTTTTACAAAAGAAAGCTATAAAATACCTCAATATTAAGGGCAAATTGCATAAAAAAGTAACGTACTTTAACTTGAGGTTTTTTTTTTGGGTAATGCACTTTTAAAACTTCCATTTTGGTACCTAAGATGTAAAATTTTAAACATTTAAGTAACCATGTAACAGGTTGAAGCATTAACCAGTTACCATACTGATGTGGCGAGTGATGTGGTATCCAACTCAATATTATTTGCTATTCAATCCAATTTCATCTCATTACTCGCCACATCAGCATCGTAACCAGTTAATGCTTCAACCATTTATCCAGGTACTTAAATGTTTTAGAACTTTACATCTTAGATACCAAAATGGAACTTCTGAAAGTACGTTACTTTTTTCATGCAATTTGCGCAAAGCTAAAAATGAGAATCTTGCTAAGCCGAGGATTCGAACCTGAGCTTCCTGAAAGAAAGCTAGACTTTAAATAAACGTTTAAAAGAATCTGTCTGTCTCAAATTTATTTTATATCTGATAGTTTTAAAAAATATAAGGGCACACAATGAAGCTTTACGGTGGTAGAGTTCAAGAACGCTACTTTTTTTTCCATTAATACGGAACTTTGAAACCGTGGTCTGTGCCACAATATGCTGCTTAGTGGGTTCACCCTGCTTGATCTCACCGTTACATCACGACTCGTATCATTTAGAACCATGAAAAACACCGATTATCTTACACCCTTATCATATTTAAATATAAAGACTTGAAGTCTTTATTTATATTTTTCACATGATTAAATATAATAAAAACAAAAAAAACCTAACATGGGTTGTTAAATTTTGACTTTTAGGTAACCTAAGATCATTAAGTTATTATATATATATATATATATATATATATATATATATATATAGGGTTGGGTTCACGTGAGACCAACATTTTACACGTAAACTTCACAGCAAAAACACTGTGAAGGTTTAAAAAAAGTCGAACCTTTACAGCAAAAACACTGTGAAGGTTTTAAAAAGTCACCTTCACAGCATTTTGCTGTGAAGTTTCAAGTGTAAAATGCTGGTCTCACGGGTCTCACGAAAACAGGTTGGTCTCTCTCTCTCTCTCTCTCTCTCTCTATATATATATATATATATATATATTTGAGATCATGTGAGACCAAGAGTTTTTGTGAGACCTGTAAGACCAATTCTCAACCTTTGGATTAGATCTACAGTCTGAACATTCATAATCACAAAATTGCCATGAGACTTCTCAATAATCACAAAATTGTTACCGTACAACTTTAGATCATTAGATCATTAACTTATAAAGTTGATCAATGAACATAAATAGGCCTCACGAAAAACCCTTGGTCTCACGTGAACTCAACCCTATATATGTATGTATATGTATATATATGAGTCGTTCAAAATAAGAAGAGAAGGTTAAGGAAAAGTTTATATACGAATAATCAAAAGATATAAAAGAAAATCTATTTGAAGATTACCATAAAAAGGAACTTCAAATTTTAAGGGAAAAAAAGGGTTTGTTTCGATTGATTACGTATTAATTTAAATTCGATTGCTTGGTCTGAGGTTATTTGGCATTGCTACCGCGCATGATTTCAAGAGTCATGATGATATAACTGAGGAACGTCTTCATCAGAAGATTTTTGTTCGACCGTGAATCGGTGAATGGAAGGAAGGAATTTTTTATAACTGTTTTACATTTTTTTCAATAAATTTTGACTGATATATAGTAAAATGACATTAATGATGGATACCAGACGTTGTGCGTATCGATCCGTGCAGTGCTGCAGCTAACGCTCAAAACTTCTGTCGTTTCAATCCCTGCAGGGGCAAGGAACAGGTAATTTCTGCTGGACTGTTATCCTCTTTCAGATTTAAAAGTGAATTGACAGTTTTTTAAATATACAATAAATGTTAAAAATCATTATGACAAAATTATACCTTTATTAAGGTTACATCATAGGATCTTGGATTAGGATTTAATGTTAATTAGATATGTACTTTATTATTTATCTATGACTTTTAAAAGTTTCAATTAATTGGTTTATTTTTATCTAGAGTAAACTACAATTTTGATCCCTGTGGTTTACACAAATCTTCAAAAGTGGTCCTTAAACTTCAATAACTAGAATTATCGTCTCTATTGTTTAAATTTTGCTTTGAAAATGGTTCATATTCACTAACTCAGTTAGATTAATCCGTTAAGTAAGAGGGCATTTTGGTCTATATATCCTTTTTTTTATCTTTTTCTTTCTTGTTTTTACTCGAATAAAAAATTAAGGGCCAAAGATTTTATTTTTTTTTATATTTCCATTATATACAATTACACACACAATATATATACCCACATAGATACATGTGTGTATATAATCATACACACTTATATATACAAACATGTGTATATTATCCATACATACATACATGCATATATATATAGACACGCACATATAATTACACGCACTACCACACACATATAGTCACACATACAACACACCGGAAGAAGAACCCCCTCCCCCACGATCTATTTCCTCCACTGGTAAAATCCTCACCTCGGGCCATTCTTTAAACACACACCAGCTAACTACATAAGTTAAACGGGGTGGGGGAGATCATCCTCGTCGGGTGATTTATACGTGTATAGTTAGTGTGTGTGATTATATATATATATATATATATATATATATATAATGGTTTGTAGATCTAAGGGGGTTTCTTCTCGAGTTTTATATGTGTATATGTGAGGGTGGTGTGTGAGATTATATATATATATATATATATATATATGTGTGTGTGTGTCTATGTATTTGTATATATATACAATTACAACCTATGTGAGTAAAGAAAAAGAGGACAAAAGAAAATTATAGTTTGATTAAAGAAAATAGAAAAAGGAAAAAAAAAAGTAAAATGACCAAAACACCCCTTAGTTATCAGACTAATTTAACAAAGTTAGTAATCAAAGACTATTTTTAAAGCAAAATGTAAACAGTAAGAACGATAATTATAGTTATTGAAGTCTAAAGACCACTTTCAGATATTTATGTAAACCACATGCACCAAAATTGTAGTTTACTCTTTAATTTATTTATGTTAAAGTAGGTTTAAAGGAAAGTACAACAACCTTATCACTATATGTGTAGGGTTACAATTGTAAATAAATAAACAAATTAGATTTTTAACACGTTTAAAGTGTTTAAGTATCTTAATAGGCAGAGATAGATATACGAAACCCTGCTCTACTTAGGTTTATAAGTAGAATCTTTTTTTAGAAGTACTAAATATTCAGATACTAAACTTTACAGGGATGGATTATCTAAGAACAAAAAAACAATTATCGCTTTGATTCAAAGTTCCTATCTCCTTGCTTATTAATAGTTCAATTAAAAGACAGTCTCTGAATCGTTAAGATGTGAATCTTGTTTGGCAAAAAAAAAAAGTTGGTCTCTTAGGGAGTGTTTGGGATTGCTTATTTTTAGGTGTTTTTTTTTTTTACTTATTTTAGTCTGACACCGGTGATAAGTTAAATGCTAGTGTTTGGATGAGAAAAAATAAAACTGCTTATACCGGTGCCAAACCGGTAATAAACAATTTTTGATAAGTTAATTTTTCTTAACTTATGAAAAACTGTTTACTACCAATTTACCATTTTGACCCTGTTTTTATTAATGTTTGTTAATTATTAATCTTATTGGTATAAACTTTTGTCTAAAATATTATTATAAACAATGAAAAATAAACTTTTACATATTAAAAAATCAAATAAATTAATAAACAATCTCAAACACTCCTATAATTCAATAATATGAAATAATGTCTTTTTTGGTCATTTTACATATATAAGCAAAATTTGCTAAACACTAAAAAACAACTTATCAGCATATTACTTTTTGGTACCGTTATAAGCTAATTCAAACACTTTTTACAAAAATTCAATTTGATACCATATAAATTAATAAGCACTTTAAAAAAAACATAAGTTGTTTTAAATAAGCAATCCCAAACACCCCCTTAATGATTCTAAAACATTCTAAATGATTTTGTATCTTAGGTCTCCCTTAATCATTCAAGGCCTTAATTTCATTGTAAATAATTGCCAAACAATTATACATCACTCTACACTATATCATGAGAGTCTTTTAATCATTTTGCACCAAACCATTCAGTATCTGCCAAACAGTCCCTTAGATTGTTAAGTAACTTTATATATGAGAAGAAGAAAATTAATAATTAGGGATACATTTAGTCTGCCCCTAAAATAATAAAATAAATGTGCAGTTGGTCCATCAAATTAGCAGATTTTTCATAATTTATACAAAACAAAAGGTTAAGTTCAGGATCTCTAAAAAAATAGATTCCAACTCCTCCAATTTTTTTATGTTTGAAGATTACAACATTGATTATGCTACTAAACACGATGGATTTGTATCATAGATTTGCGTCATAAGGCGTTAGATAATACCGAAAGATCAGAAAGATTTCTTTTCATAAGACAAGAGGCCGTGAACACCTCCTTCGACCTGTGCTGCTCCTGTTCGTACCTGAAAACATATAAAAAGAAACAAAATTTTACATGGGAATGTTACCACGACGTTGTGAATGACAGTAAACCAAACTCATGCACTACGAAGTCGGGTCTGGGGTGGGATGTACCCGTAAAGTTTCAAAAAAAAAATTGAATGTTATATATTTGGTTTTTCTGTAATATATATAGAGAGAACGTTTCAAATGCAACCCATCACATTTGTACAGCCAATACAACCCAATCAATTGAGATATTTAAATGATGAAAGTTTATTTATTATAATTTGAATATTTGTGAAAGATAACTAGGGTTCATTAATTATGATCAATACTTTATATTAGGAAACAATCAAAACTTCTATGAAATCACATATTCATCAAATTAAATGGACAGTTGAGATTGAGTCGTATTGATTGTACAAATGTAAATATCTTTTGACCCTCTTTTTCCACAAGATAAAGGTTATTTCTTATATTTTATATTATGTTACTTCAATTCCGACCCCCTACCACTAAGATTTCTAGATCTGCCACCGACCCCAAATGCAAGTAGTTTATGCGGAAAGCCAAAAATATGAAACCAAACCAAAAAGATTACGTCGTACCTCCAGCCTCAGGATCCCAGACCTCAACATGTCATGAGCCGACTGCAAGGAAGAAGCACCGAGATCCTGGAAACCCTGCTTGACTGCATGCATAGCATATGGAATGAACTTCAAAACAGAACCTTTATCTGCAACTGCTCCAACAACCCCCTGAGCAATCTTCATTTTAGCTGTATCCCCAAGGTACCGAGCATCACTTCCTTTCGTCATTGCTTCAAGAGAACCCATCCCACGGTACTTTTTGATCCGATGACCACCCTATGATTTCCAAAACAAAAAAATAAACAAATATGTACCATGAATATCTCAAACATTCTTCATAAGCACAACACATCATAAAGTTATCACATTTTGTAAAGCAAACAAATATATAACCTGACATAAACCTTCAATTGAAAAACTTGGATAGTTAGTGACACTGGCAATGGCTATTTATAAGAGCCTTGAAAGCACAAAGTTGTGTCTCCACCTGGGGACACTATTAATATTTTATTTGGATAACCGTGGGTGTCCAGGCCAGCTTTGCACGGACCTCAACTCACTCAAAACAATGGGACCCTGAAGATAACAGCCACCGGCTACCTATGGTAAAAGAGCTCCAAGGCCTAGCCCTTGTATGCCAGTTGAGTTGAGCTGGTAAAGGATATTAGATTTGCAATGAAGGCTGAGGGAGTTGGGAACAAAGCAGATAATAAATGGAATACAAAAGGAAAGAATTATCTATTTTTTGGGGCGATTTAAGATTCAAAGTTTTTTTAAGATGATCAAAGTTCCAATTGTAAACAAATTGCTTTGTCCCATCTTGATAAAAGCATTCTTGATCCTTTTTTCAACTGCGATATCCAGACATCAATGAGGGGACCAGTTAATGTGGGAAACAACAGATTTTAATCATCCCAACAATGTTGATTACTTGCGATATACTACACAAAAAGTCCTAAGGCAAATAAACTAATTCAGGTGGACGCTTTATCAAATTCAAAGGGAAGTATAAGATTCTCGAAATCACCTGGTATTGATACGCTCCAGGAGCTTCAGTACTTCCAGCCAAGAAGCTTCCCATCATGACGGTTGACGCCCCTAGGGTCAAGGCTTTGACTATGTGTCCAGAATTAGAAATGCCACCATCAGCGATGATGGGAATACCACTTTGTGCAGCAACAGACGATACCTTGTAAACTGCAGTCGCCTACAACCAAATTTTTTTGATTTAGAATGTTCCCAATTTGCAATTAAGCATGTAGAATGACACCGATTTCAATTCAAGATGATCAAAGGTTTTTGTTTCACCAAGAATTTAAATCAAATTAACACCATTACTTGAAAACAAATACTGCAAGTTTGAATGTGCAAATTAGATTAACATAAAAACTAACTAGTACACAAAACTAGCAAATTAGTAGATGATACCTGTCCACGACCCACGGCGCAGACTTCCTGAGTAGTACAAATGGAGCCAGACCCCATCCCAACTCTCAAACCATCAACTCCAGCCTGAATCAAGTTCTGGGCTTGGTACATTGTAACCACATTGCCACCAACCACATCCAAATCAGGATACGTCTTCTTGGCATACTTGATCATCTCAATTTGATATATTGAGTTCCCTTGAGAACTATCAATGACTATTAGATTAACACCAGCTTCAACCAAATATTCTAACCTCTTCTTATCACTCTCCCTTGTCCCAATTGAAGCCCCAACCAAAAACTCTCCATCTTCTCCCACAGACGGCAGCCCTCCCTTGGGAAAACCCCTAATCCTCTCAACATCCGCCTTACTCACCACATCTACCACCTCCCCGTTACCGCTCACCAAAGGCACAAAATCCAACTCCTTGGCCGCTAAATAACCAGCAACATCCTCGAATTTATAAGTATTCGGTAATGTAATCATGTTCTTCTCCATGTAACTAGAAACCCTAGCTTCCTTATCAGCTAAACCCTCCCAAGTTAACTTATCAACAACCCCTAGCAACTTATTATCACTCTTGGACCCCACAAAAACACAAGGAGATGTCTCGAAAACAGAAGCGGATGAAATAGAATCATCCGGTGACACAAACGGGATATCGGTGCATGCAAAAGGGATACGGTGTGATTTAGCTGACCGGATTAAGGATGACTGTTCAGATGGCGTATTATTTGAGTGGATGATTCCTATACCACCTAAAGCGGCCATGGAAACAGCCATGGAGGCTTCGGTAACGGTGTCCATCGGAGAAGCGACGCAAGGTACCGACAGGTTTATGTTACGAGAGAGTTTTGTGTTCAGTTGAACAGAGTCGGTTGGAAAATCGATATAATGAGGGAGGAAGATAACATCATCGTAGGTGTAAGAGTAACCTTGATTGAAAAGCCTCGTTGCCGGAAAACCATCTTCCATTTCTCCGACGGCGGCCATGGCGTTGGCTTTACGGGGCAGGAGTTGAGAAAGAAAGAAAGAAAAGGGTTTGGTTGGAGACCACGGTGGCCCCGGAACAATTTAATCTAAATGGAAATTTAGAGATGCCCAAATGGGCCCGGCCTGGCCTGGCCCGTAACCGTCGGAGGACCGAAACTGGTCCGGGATCGGTATGGATCGGTTGTGGATCGCCGGTTATGAACCGGTTATGGATTTTAACATTTTTTAGGACCGAGACCGGTTAAGACCGGAACCGGTTATGTAACCGGTTATAGGA